GGTATGGTATGGTATGGTATGGTATGGTATGGTATGGTATGGTATGGTATGGTATAGTATGGTATGGTATGGTACGGTACATCGGATATTTAAACAACCAAACAGGTGATATGTTATGTTTGGTAACTTTTATTTCAGAAAGTCTGAATGAAAATAAAAATCTGAAAGAATTGAATTAATCTGAAGCAGGTCAATGTGCCTTGGTTCACCTCTTTCTCTTTAAGCTGGAGTCTCTCCTGAGTGTGTCGAAGCTCCTCCTCCAGCTGGGAGTCCCTCCTGGCGGTCAGTCGTGGATTGTCATCCTCTGATTTAAGACGCTCCAGCACGAAGAAGTCCTGCGCCTCGTCGCCACCATCTATGAGACAGACAGTGTTTTAAACTAATGAGTACAGTTTGGTCCGGGTTAAGTAAATGTGGGTCAACTGTCTTGCCTTGAAGTTGCTGCAGTTCCTCTCTTAAAGTCTGGTTGTCCTCCTCCAGCAGACAAACGTTGTACTGGAGCTCYTGTTTTTCTTGTCTTAGAGTGGTCACCTCGTCCCTCAGCTCGTGCTCTCGGGTTTTGAACAGCTGCGCGGCACACACCGTCGTGGGGAGGTTTTTTTTAGACCGACTCAAATTCGAACTCATGACTTTTGTGGTTTGTGAGAGTCGACCGTACGTACCTCCAGTTGGCTGTGCAGCCACTGCAGCTGTTCATCACAGAGGTGCTGGTTCTCCCTGAGCTGACCTGAGCTCAGCTTCAGTTCTGTGTACAGGCTCTCCCACCTCTCTGCCTCTGTCTGGGCTGTCTTTAGTGCTTCCTGTGGGCAAAAAAAAAAAGAAAAAAAAAAACTTCCAACAGTTTTCATCTTAAAAAACTCAACTGTGTGGGTAATCTAACAAATCTGATGAAAATGTTTGGTCCTTTCACCTGCAGTGTCTCTGCTCTGCTGATGGCCTCACTTTTCTCCTGAGAGGCCTTCTGCAGCAAAACCAAGGCCTTTTCCTCGTACATCTCTCTCTGCTTCTCCATCTGCAGCACCAGTTTCTTCACTCCATCCTTAGGAAACGTCTGTGGGAGAACAACACTTCAGAGATGAAACAACACAAAGCTTCAAAGAAAACATCTTTATTTTAAGAAACTTGGCATAATACACAGGATTTTACCCATTTTGTCACAGAACTGGCAAATTTTCTTTTGAACTGGGCTCAGCCAAACTGAAACAGGAAGTGACATCAAAGGGGAACTCTTAAAGAAAATGAACTCTTTGATCTTTGTTAATTGAAACATTATTATTTGAACTCTGACTTCATCTTTCTGTGACAGTGACTCAAAATARTCTAAAGAAASGTCAGATTCTTCTCARTCTGTGTCAGCCATTAAAGCAAGGCTCTGCTCACATGCAGACATTCCCCTTTGACATCACTTCCTGTTCCTTCACATGCAAATATCTCAACAACTGTTCATCTCAGCAGAGTGATTTTTTTTGCAATATGTTATCAATGTTATCTTTTCAAAAATGCATTCATATTTAGTACAAAAAATAATGTCACAGGCATTTGAAATAAACATAAGCTAAGAAGAAAATGAAAATCTAAGGTTAATGTGAAGTCCTCAGTAATATCAGAGCTGTGCAGGTTATTTATTATTATTTCATGAAGGTTAATGTTTGCTGAAGTCATATAAAAGCCCTGTAATTAAACAAAAAAAATGAATCGATGTGTTCTATGTGCTGCTTACCTGCACACAGACTTGCAGCTGCGCCTCCAGAACCTTGATCTTGTTTCTCAGCAGGTCCTCATTGCAGCGAGACTGTGTGGGTTAGAGAGGAAACGAGAGACTGTCAGGCTCTAACCTGCAGGTGGAACACGAATGCTTCACGTGTCAGCGACACACAGTTTCACAGAGGCGCTCATTGGAAYTGTGAGCGGCAGCTTATCTTCAAGAAATATCACAAAGAGAAGCAAAGGTGCACAGAGAACCTGTCAGGAGAAACAGCCTAAAAAGAATCAATTTTAATCAAATATCTCAGCTACTGAAACCAAACATATAACTAATATTGACCAGATATAACAGCTAACGAGGATGCACCTCAGTCAGACTGCTGCGCCCTTCCTGTTTGAGAGCGACAGTTCGCGCTCATCCTGCAGATGAAAACGGAAGCAGGAAGCTTGAAACCACAAGCTGCACAGGCCTTCCTGAGACACCAGCAGCCRTACACGAGTGTGACAAACTTCAGCACAAAACCAGGCCAAAGGAARAACAACCAGCAAGAACACAGCCGTTAAAATAAATAAAGATCTAAAATACACGTTCAGTTTTAAAAACGGTGATCCTTAAAAACATGTAAGCRTGTCTGATGAGTGAATCTCTTACCGTCCATAACACATCTGATGAGCTCATGAAGTTCGCTGCGAGCTCCTTGAGGAGAGCCAGCTTCTTCTTCACCGCCTCCTCTCTCCACAGGGCCTCCTGAGAAGAAGAAGAAAAAAACAAAAACAAAGATCAGACGAGTGAATTCTGCAGCAGTGAAGTAAACCAAGCACACCATCAAATTTTATTTACCTGCACGCAGTCTGATAATTTCTGAATGTCCTATAAAACAACATAAAACATTCGAAATAGGTGAAATTTGCAGTAAAGATGATGTTTAATTACAACGATCAGGAGTGGAACATGTTACATTTCCCTTCATATTAATTTAATTTGAATGTGAATCTTATTTTGTGACCTTTAACCTTTGACTACACCTGGACTCTGTAAACAAAAAGCAGCTGTTTGAAACTTACTGATTCTTTGACCGTGACAAGGCCGGACCTGCGAGGCGTTTAAGGACATAAAATTTGGGTCAGAGCTGCGCATCAAAGCTGAGATTTGAAGCACAAATCTAGTCTTGGATGAGACTCACTTCGTTTGCACGCCGATCTCTCGAAGCGTCTTGTTTTGCCGAGCATTTTCCGTCTGCGTCAACGATTTTTGGTGAACTCTTTCGGCCTGAGTCACTGTTGTGATGCTTGTCTTCTGAGCTATGAGAAACGATAAACATTATCCTGTTAGCAGAACAGATCGATTGATATTTAACAGCACAAAACGCGGTGTAAACGTGTTTTTCATTCATACTGGTGCCTCTTTTCTGCATGCTTGTTGTCCAGTGCTGGCTAGATTCCACTGTCACTGTTGTGGAGGTAGATGTCTGTTTCCTTGCGTGTCTTTTCTCTTGATTCATCGGTGTTATCGGTTCTGACCATAATAAAGCCTAAAGAAACAATAAAAAATGCAGCTATTCCTCTGAAAAAGCAGAAGAGGTCTGGATTAAAGCATTATTTACCCATTTGCTGGTGCCTGGATATTGGGTTATTCTGCTCTCTGTTGTTAAAATCATCCCTTGATGTTCATCAGCAGAGGGAGCATGTTGTGTATTTGTGTACAGGCTCTCTGACTTGCTGAGGTATTTCTTTGGAAATCTCTCCAGAGCAGGATTTCTCCTCTTAGAGCAGTTTTTACACTTTGAGCCACTCGGCTCGGGGCTGACCGACCTCCTCCTCAGGAACTCCAGATGCCTTTTTTCCTTCAGCTCGTTCTTGATCTGTCTCGTGTCATCATCTCTGGTGGGGCTTCGGCACGACGTCACGTTGTTGCGACCTCGCAGGTGCTCCCGTTTCTCGGCTCTGTAATTGGCTTTCTGGTCAAACTCTCGCTCGGGGAAGTATTTTGTTGCGACGATGGACAAGGAGTCCATGGCAGCTCCTGGGGCTGTTTGCGTGTCCTCGGCACTGAAAAGATGATAAAAATAAAAAACAAGTTGTGGCTGTTGCAAGCTGTATGAACGTACAGAAAGTTAGTCATTGTGTTGTGARAAAGAAGTTCAAGCCTGAACTGTGCTAACTTCTCAGAAAGTTTTGTTTACTCAAAGGAAAGGTAGTGATCTGTACACCAGCCGGTACAACCAGTCAGGCATAAAGTACAATTAAAGAACATTTTGCTTTCATTTTCCCCGAGAACCATGCAGGATGAAGCAGCTGCACGAGTTTACCTCTAACAAAACAACTTCAGTTGCTTTTTGTAGTTGATCAGAGAGCTTCTTTAACGTCTATTTCCACAGTGGTGAGCGTCAGCCTCATGCAGGCCCCCAGCAACTGCTGCTTACAGCCGTGCAGGTGCAGGATAAATCAAAGACTAAATAAAGCCTAATAAGCACAAATTCATGTTGATGGGGGCTCACCTTTTAAGACAGCCCCTTCACCGGGGGGGAAACCTTTTCGAGCGGGGCCAAGAGGTCATCCCTTTTCCTTCTCTGCTCTCACAGCGTCCGAGGTTTTCGTCTCTGTTTCACATGTAGCTGTTTCTGTAGAGCCTAACTTTACAGGAAGTGAAGAGAACCACAGCGTCATATGTTCCTCTATCTCAGCAGCCATTCGCTCCACGCTGATGCCACACACGGGTGGGCCTCGAGATTACAGACACACTCAGCCGGCTTCCCCACCACTCCTGCATGCAGGCCGGGATAAAACACAGAAAACGACCTTTGTGTGCGTGTCTGCGTGTGAATCTTTCACGACAAGAGCTACACTTCTCATTCAAATAAGTTATTGACTGACAGTGACACAGAACTTCATCAGTTCAACATGATTTACATGATACACAAATTTAAATTCTAGTTTAAGTTGAAACACATTTTGAAGACTACTTAGACAAAAATATTTAATTTTAGTATTATATAAACTCTAACTAAACTTTTTAGAGTTCCTGGTGATCACGATCAATCAAAATTGAGCTTTTTTATTGTTTATTCACCTAAACAGAAAATAAAATGTTACAATGCAACGATATAAAATTAATTTCTGAACTACTGGGTTTGGATGCATTTATATATATATATATATATATATATATATATATATATATATATATATATATATATATATATAATTATTCTTCTACTACTACAATTCTCAATAACAGCATTATTTCTCATACAGGTTCATTTACTTATAATAATAGGATCGGTTTTGTTAAATAACCTGTAGTTGGGAGCCCAGTATGTCTTCTTTTTTACAGTTTAAACATATTTTAGCTCAATGTTTACATTGTTGAAATGTATGGAAGGAAGTGCACAGTTCCTACCTTTCTCCTATGTAGTCCGTATTTATAAATTATTATTGTTCATATTTTATATTTGTTTCTCATGGGTTTTTTTTTTTAGTTTAACAGCGTCTCTTTAGGGAATTAACGTTTACTAGTTAAGAAACTGTAATATTAGTTTGTAAATGTTTTTGTGCTAAATGTAGATTAAGCTGTCTGTTTGGTCACAGCGCCATCTAGTGGTCACCTTTATAACAATAAACGGACAGTCTGTGTGTTCTCGCGAGATCTTCTCTCGTGTCCGCTATCCTGTGCAGAAGGGCACGGAGAGGGTGTCCGGCGTAGCAAGAACTAAGCACGTCAGATTTATTTTCAATCATGCTGTCGAGAATTGTTTTTCTCTCAGGTCTGTATTAAAGCCGTGTTTGATGCGACCGTAATAAACTATTGTTTTTTTTGTGAACGCACCAGGTTGTTTTATTATCTGGCTTTCTTGTTACTATCGAAGGGTAAACTGAAGGCCGCAGTCTGAATGAGATGAGCTAACGCTAGACTGTTTTTGGTATAATTATTTATTAACAGTCTAACAGATTAAAGTTGTTTATGTTTTTCTATGTTCATGCCTTTATCGATAGTAACAAGAAAGTCAGGTAATATATTTTCATCCCATTTGTCTAATACTCTTTAACTTTAGTTTCAGCAAAGTGACGCTAAACTAGCTAGCTAATTAGCTTTGCACAGCGGGCTCTATCTTTGTTTTTAGGCAAGACATGAACTAGATCTGCTGTTGAGASTTTTTGTTTCTTTTAAACTTTAAATCTCTTTAAAACACGCATACAACATAATCGAATGACCACCTGATTGTATCTTGACACATTTATATTTTTCTGTCAGTCGGTAAAGTCTTACTAAATGTATTTAGTTTAAGAGTATWAGCTTGACAGGTTTTCAGAAATCACGTTTTAGGTATTTTCCATAAACCTTTTCAATTTAGTTCACTGTTTTATGAATTTAGTGCCAACTGTGCAAAGCTTCAGTTGTTTATTTTTTTGCTAGTGTTTTTTTTTTAAGTTTGTGTAGTATCCATTACATTAAATAACTTTACTCTCTACTTGTCTCTCCTGTTTTCAGCCAACTCCCTGAAAGGCTGCAGCCCCATTGGAGCTTGGTTAGTATCTTCAGTTTTATGTTTGCTGTGTTTCTTCAATAGTAAAGGTCAAATGTCTCCTAAAATTAATCCTGAAACTATTTGTTCAACAAGTGCACCACAGACATGTGTAGCATGAGGGAATTATTTATATGAAAAGAATCGTGGAACTTTCTATACACTAATTTTAGAACGAACACAACTATTTAGATATAAAATACCTCCAGATGTACAAAGATTATTTGAGTAAAGCCTTACTGAGTGAGGTGAAGTGGTGCAGCTGTAAATCCAGTGAGAGATGTTTCTGTTGCACATTAATCAGCTTGAGACAAAAAGTTTTGCCAAAAGTGTCTGAAAGTTAAGGTGGAAAATATGCATTTATTTTACTTTAACACATCAAGCCTTAGTTTTTGTAAGACAGCCTCAGTCAGAGCCGGTAGCTGTTTGTTTGCCTGCATTTGTTTATTAAGTAGACTAATGTCAGATCTGCTCATTTTGTTGTCTACCTCAGCTTGGTTCAGGCGTCTCRCTCCCTGCATACAACCTCCCAAAGTCTGGCCCCCGTTCCCCCCTTGCCTGAGAGGGGAGGTAAAGTACGACATGGCATCTTCCCCGAGGAGTTTTTTCAATTTTTGTACCCAAAAACTGGAGTCACGGGTTAGTGTATATATATAAATCTTGGCTTCTAAAAACTTACGTTTTAGTTTTAGCAGCAAATACCTGCAAAATGTTTTCTTAAACAACCCTTCACCTAACATCCCTTTACTTTGGCCTTACTGCAGAATGTGACCCAGCTGATTATTTATTTTTTTATTTACAGGACCGTACATGCTTGGCAGTGGTCTCATCACCTACTTGCTTTCCAAGGAAATCTACGTAATCAACCACGAGACCGCGTATGCTGTGGCCTTCGGCCTTTTCTTCGTTTATTGTGTCAAGAAATTTGGTCCAGCTGTGGCAGCTCATGTTGAAAAACTGCAACAGGTGGGCTGAAATGGTTATCAGGTTATTGATTAAATATAGATAGATTTGTTTTGTCTGCTGAAACTATTGAGGCTTTAAATATCTGCTGAAGACCCATCTTTTGTCTTTGGCTTTTGACTGAGGCAGAATTTGAGCCTATGTTTTTTTGGTTTAATTGTGTGTATCTTCATTTTATTGACTTTTTTAAAATGATACAAGACCTTGACTGAACTGTAAATCACTTTGGTCAGCTTTTGTTATTTGTAATGTTCTATATGAATACACTTGACATCGACATGAACAATGTTTGTGTCAACAAAAGTGTTTAATTATAAATTAGTTTTGCTTATTAAAGGAAAATATATTATTTGGCAGCACGACGGCTCAGTGGTTCTGACCGATGGACTGCAAGAAAGTTCTGGGTTCGATCCCCGGTTCGGACCTGGGGTCTTTCTGTGTGTGGTTTGCATGTTCTCCTCGTGCTTGCGTGGGTTTTCTCTGGGTACTCCGGTCTCCCCCACCCAGCAAAAACATGTACAATAGGTTGCCTTCAGGCCCAGGCCTCCCTTGAAAAAGAGATCTGAGATCTCAACRGGACTTGCCTGGTTAAATAACTGTAAATAAAATAAAGTTGTAAAAATTTTTATCTACGTTTCGCCCCCACACAGGAACAATTGAGTGCAGCCCAGGAGAGCAAAGATGCCTCTATAGCCAACCTGACTGAGGCCATCGAGAATGAGAAGAAGGAGCAGTGGCGAGTAGAGGGAAGATCAATGCTCTTTGATACTAAGAGGGTAAGCAGCCCTAAACTTTTTATGTATTTATTTATTTTGCATTGTCAGAGATCCTGACATACTGTCTAATTTGTAAATGAGCTTCTTGTTGTCGGCCTCTGCTGGCAACAGGAAGGAACTGCAAGACTCTTCTGAAATGTAATGTTTTTAAGTATAAAAGGATGTTTGAATCCTTAGTCTATATTATGCATCATACAGGCATCTCTTTAAAAACGTTTTAGATGTAAAGTTTTTTGTAACATAAGATTGAGCAAAGCCTTAAATGTCAATACAGTTCAGTAAACACAACACTAAGGTGTCCTGATGTGTGATGATCCTGTTTCAAACACTTGTACAACTTGTTGAAGAACTTTTCAGTATTTTTCTGGATTTATTCTGTTATAGCAGCTCATATTTTATTATGTTTTGGTGTCACAAGTGCCTCTTGGTTCTAGTTTTGTTATGAAGCAGAATACATTTTGCGATACGTTTTTGCTCGATCCTCCAAGCGTGCCTGGACCTTTTGCACAGTTGTGTGTTTCATCTGATCTCTAGCTGCATTTTTAAGATTTATTTTTGGCCTTTTCAGAACAATCTTGCAATGCTGCTGGAGATCAACTACAGGGAGAGGCTACACATGGTGACCAATGAAATAAAGAGGCGCTTGGATTATCAGATCGCCCTTGAGCAACTCAACCACCGGTTGGAACAGGAGCACATGGTGGACTGGGTGGAGAAGAGTGTCATCAGCAGCATCACTCCTCAGCAGGTCAGCCCCTTCTTGTTGTTTTTAAAACCCTGAAGCCAGTTTATATCTTAAAGCTTTGCTGATGTGGAGGGAAAAACCCCTCTCTGTTATGACCAGAACGTTATTATGTGCTGTAAAGATAAGTGTCTTTATGGTTGAGCTGCTTTAGTTTATTTACTGAATTGGCTGGGTTACAARATAAGTGTGACTGAAGTATGATCTAATGCAGCTTCTTTTTGTAAATTATGTTGACGATCAAAGAATTTTTTAAGTTATTTTAATCACTTTTGAGGCTTCTTTGTGTTTTTTGGGGGAAAGGAATACTTGAAAATGTTTTAAAAGGATGAAAAACGTGTTTTGTCACAATCTAGAGCAGACTGATATGCTGATTGAGAAAGGAAATATTTTGTGAATTTATTAGAAATATTCAATTTTGTAATTATTTAAAAGAAATCCCAAACTCCTAAATATTCTAAGAACTCTCCGGATTATGTTTTAGTGTATTGAATATAAGATACTCTAAAAAATGTTAATTGATTTTAAATCTAACCTTAGATGAATTTTATGAATCTTAAAAACTAGTAAGTAATAGGACCACAAATGCTTTGATATGAATTAATAGTATGTAGCAGTCATGTCCTAATAATCAACATTAATTATAGGTGTGCGTTTCTGTTAATAGTCTATATTTTCCTGAAATTATTTTGATTTATCTCTGAAGATTGTTGTTTGAATTTATTTAATTATTTTTTTTAAAAGGGGGCAGATATTAATAAGACTTTTTTCTTCTTTCTGCTACTTTTCATTTTATGTGTTTTGTATTATTAATTGTATGTATAGCATTTGTTTTGTTTTTAAATTAAATTAATGATTTTTTTAAATAAATAAGATAATATGCAGCAGCTGTGATCTAACCTAATTGGTGGTCCAAACGAATGTTCACGTATTTGGCACAAATAAATGTTCACATGCTTCAGTTTAAAATTTTTATTCATATTTTTAAATGAAATAATGTAAAAAAATAAAAGTCATATTGGTAATTTGAGACAGTTTTTACCTTTTCCTTGTACTTTGTCCTGACGTTAAGATCTTAAAGTTAGGAAGTTGTAGCTTTACATTTTACCATAACTACCTAGAAATTAGTTTAAAATAATTTTGTATAAATTGCATGTTGTGGATTGTCTCATTAAAAATTCAGACATGGTCTTAATTTCCTCTGTTGTGGTTTTGTTCTGTGCAGGAGAAGGAGAGCATCGCCAAGTGCATCGCAGACCTGAAGGTGCTGGCTAAGACCACTCAGGCCAAAGCTGCAGTCTGAACTGTGGTGGGCCTGAAGAAAACCCTTCAAACCCTCGATTCGTAGCTCCAAAATGAGACGCCACCTTTCTTTACAGAGTAAACTTATTTCTCTTCAACAATCATCTCTGTCAACATTATAGGTGTGTACAGTATTTACACGTCAGCAGATGGTAAAATAAATGCTTCTCTTATCCAAYGATGGCTGCTTGGTTTTTATTATTCTAACTTTAGGATTTGATGCTCTTTACATTCAAAATGTTTCACCTACAAAACTGCGTAAACACTTCAGTGAAGCACTCGAGACCTTTGATCGCTCTGAAGTAGGCTTTATAAGGCTGAAAGTAGCCTTTGGAATCATTACGAGGCTCAGCTTTGCTGCCCTCAGATGACAAATCGAGCCACTCCGCCTCCATCCGTCACTCCGTTCAGAACATCGACCTTTGATCCTGAAGCTTTCAGACTCTAGGAAATTTTCTCCAAGCTGCCGAGGAGCAGGAGCTTCCTGACCGCCTTCTGAAAACTAAACCCTGAAAGAAGAAAACGATGTCTCCGAGCTGATCCTCGAAGGTAAACTGGATGAAGAGAGGCTTGCCGTGATAATGTGACGTGCGATTGTGGTGGAAGGAGATCCAATAAATTTTTTATTGGTGGCAGGATCGCTTCCTGTTCTCAGGTAGAAAATGTGTTTGCTTTTTATTTTACAGAAAGCTTCGCCAGGAAAACTCGTCTTCCATCAGTCGACGAGGTACGTGACACGTTTTCAACACTTAAACCGAACTTTATCAAACCGTTTTCACCTTGTGACACAACGCGCAGCCAGACATCGGGCTCAGACGTTACATATTAAATGCTGATGCCACAAATAATAGTYTGTGAAGCTTTGCAAATAGTTTAATTATTGAGCCTTTTTGGTCAGTTAAATTATATCACAGTTCCTGTAACTGATTAACTGAGCATCTTGGCGCCCCTTTTTGCTGAAATAAAGTAAATTRCAGCCTCACACTGACGTGTTTCTAAACTTGAAAGTACTAAGAAGGGGTCAAAATGCAGGAGCCTGAACGATAAAGGTCCAGAGCTGTGGGTCTTAGCTGGTCCAGCTTCAGGATCCACCACAGTCACCTCTGAATAAGTCATGACCCATGCTGAGGAAACCTTTTGATTTAATTAAAAAAAAGGGTGCAGTTTGAACCTGAGTTAGTAAAAATACATATTTTTTTATTATAAACCAATTTAACCAACAAGCAATAATTAATGCCTGAGAGGWACATATTTCCGTTTACTTGACTTACATAACTTCAGCCATTTTTTTAAACAGACTCCATGGTGCTTGCAAACAAAATAAAGTCCAATAAGGAAGTTCCAGAAAGACTGTGTGTAGTGTTAACTGAGTTATCAACCTATAAAATATATAACAAATATATTTTTCTTAGTGCATCAGTAGACTTGACATGATCAGAACTCTGATTTTAACACAAAATATGTAAAATGAATCAAACATCACACTTCAAACATTGTCTAACCAACTCCTACAAACTTAACCAGCCCAAAGAACATTTAGACTCAAATTTCACTTCATTTGAGACGATTTAGACTCATAACAGGTGAAAAAATCTGACTGTGGAATGAGATGATTGCACTTCGTAAGACTTTTTGAAATAAGGAAAATTTCCAGGCTAATAATTATAAAAACACATTCTGCTCTTGCTAAATGTATCAGTCTGAAAACAAGATCAAATATAGTTTTTGGCTGGATAGAAGACTGTAAAGACTTGGTTGGATGGACAGTTTTTTGCAGTGCATCTTGAAGGATTTAACACGTGAAGTTGCTTTATGTCTCTATGAGCCTGTTTCACACTGATCTCACTGATTTCTAACAGGTTGGAGCATCTTGCAAGAGATTTCCACGGATCTAAAATAATAAAAAAATAAACAATGTTTGGAAACAACRGTCCATACTCCTACTCCAGGTTAGTATGTTCACCTAAATGTTATGTTTCAGCAGTTTAAGGTCATTTCCTTTGAGTTCTGAGGACAGAGTTGGATTTCTAGTCATGCTGCTCGGCTGATTCGTATGCCACCCCCTTTTTTATTTTCTTCAGGGGTTTCCCACAGGAAGACTTCCCTCAGCAGGGACGGYCTTTCCAACTGGACGAGCCCAAAGATGTGTTGCTGCAGAGAAACGGCCTCTCCAGGCCAAGTGGAAGAAACATATACAGTACGTTCTAACGAAAACACGTCCGTGTGTGGTTTCTCTGAGAACAAACACGTTCATATTTTTGTTTTCACCTCAGAGCAGAGAAAGGAATATTTAGAGGAGCTCAACAAAAAACCAGACATCTTCCAAGTCAGAGTGGAGGTAAGAATTCACCTGCTAGAAGATAACKGCAACATTAAGCTCTTCACGTACGTTTCTCGCTTTCAGCATCTGTTCACCTGTGAGCTGGACGGCCAGGAGGTGAGGACCGCGGACGACTGCGTGGCCAAACTCATGAAACTGGACGCCAAAGGTCGTCTGTGGCCACAGGAGATGATCCTGGGGCTTGATGGAGCGCATCTTCTGCTCTCTGACATCGAGAGCAAGGTGATCGTTTAAAGTGGAGCGATCCTTTCCACACTGTCGATAGGGGAAGCAGTGATGATGTTTTTGCTCATGTCTGTCAGTCTGTTAGTGAAATTTCTCATGAGCTACTGGACACATTTTTAATGAAACCTGCACGGAATCATTGGGATTAACTTCAAGCTCTACCATACCAAATGCTGCGTCAGCACCTATAAAACTGAGTTGTATAAAGGTGTTATGAACGTTAAATATTTTGCTAACAGACGTATGCACACAAGGGCAAAAACATGAGCAATATTCTTTTTGCCAGATGTATTGCATATTACCAACACATTGCCATTGTTTACAAAAGAAATCCTAGCAATACAGAAACGATTTTATGCCATCTTTACCTCTCTTTTCTGTCCTAGCCTTTTTTTTACATTCATGTTACAAGCAGTACTGCACAACTTTACAATTCATGTGTGCAAGACGTTCACAAGAATAATCCCAGAAGATGCATGTAGTTAAACAGCAAAGAAAAGTGAT